CATTTAACGGTCGTTGTTTGCATTTTTATGCCAGTGTATATTCACAAGTCCTTAGTTTATTCATGTACCTATTTATTTGTATGAGACATATTTCCATACACCCTGTATGTGGATTTACATATTTCAATATTCCTATTGTTTTGATGTAATAATTTAACTTACCTTTTCGTCGAAACAATTGCAACAAATCCAACCCGAAATCCATGCAACCATCAGTTCAAAAATTTCGAAATTCTAAATCAAACTGATTCAAACAAAATTCGCTGCAGATCATTTTTATTCGGAGTATAAATTAATTATGCCATATTGTATTTTTCCTGATACCTATACCAAGGTAAAGAGATCCATCAGTTTTTAATAGGTATAAGTGAAATTATAGCATCAAAACAAACAAACAAATAAATGGGAACATGAATAAAGTAACAACCTGTGAATGTACACTGGCCCCTTTCCACAGGCATGAAAATGCAGACAATGCAAAATTTTCATAATTCGATATGAAAAACTGAAAATATTCCGTTTTTAGCTATTCAATTCACAAATCCTTCATTGCAGCTTCAGAAATTCAGTAGTAAAATAGCATGCGGAAACATAAAAAGTACACAAATCATGTAAGCAGATTTTGTAAATTCAAACATACAGGGTGTTTTTTCGAGGACCCAATAATATGTTGAGTTTTTGTTAATCCGGCCTGGATTTTTTTTCTGACGGATATACAAGTCGCTGGGGTAGCAGTGGGAAAACACGTCTACCAAATATCAGAAAAATATACCAGGTGGTCGTATATGAGCCTTCAAAGAAATGACCAGAATTGATAAAACATCCTATATCTCGATAATGAAACATGTAAGACCCAACATATATGGTATATTCAGAACCACCTTGATCACCTCTATCCACCGTTGAAGTATTTCTGTTTCCCAACGGAACACCCTGTATTATATCAGATCTTTCCTATTCAGTTTTCAAGAAAGAGGTTGAATATAAACTCTGATCTTTCAGTAATTCTTCAAATAGTGCTAGAAGATAGAATGTTTCAGATGTTGAAGTTGACGAAAATGTTATACTCACTAATAAGGTCTGTCTGTAAAATCCTCGGTAAAATCTTTCGTTTGAGAGGGTGTATTCAATCACGGGTCCGTGCGAAATGATCGGATAGTATAGTGTTCAAGAAGAAGCAATATCAACATGACTTTCATTTACGTCATGCCTTTGCATGAAGAATACAACGGGTATGGAAATGTTGCAAACGGCGGGTATGGATAAAAAACTTATATTTTTCATGACATATAATGCGACGCGTGCTAGCTAGGTCACCGAGGAGTAAATCTAACGTTTCCAAGAATAATTCATATGTGTTTTCCAGCGTAAAAATCGTGCTGAAACACACGAACTTTATTCTTATGTACAGGGTGTTTCCCGACGAACTGAGTTGATATATACATATGCGAAACTACTGAAAATAAATTCCCGAAATTTGTTACACGGGGGTTTTTACAGCAACTGAGCAACTTCCGCTAGTACCATAAATTGACCTCAAGTTCGTTATCATGAATGGAATGTACCATTTTTATTGAATTTTGAATTCCAATGTATACAGTGTCATTCATAAAGTCGGCATCATATGGGAAAAACTTTTATTAATGACTTATTTTGGAATTCGAGTTGGACGTTAAGTTTTGCTTCAAAAAATATGAAAAATGGCCTACTCAATCGGGGTCACGTGACTCGCTACATGTCAAAAGTGACATTTTTTCAAATTAATCGCTGAAAGTAGGCTTATTTGTTCGAATATCGAAAAAGTTTAAATGAAAAGGTTGTTTCTATTCAAATTTCACATATTTGATCCGAATTTTATCTTCCTATTACATTTCTTAGACTTCGATATTTTTTAAAAATTTTCGAAATTTCTGTAATATTGAAAAAATTGTAAATTCGATAAAACTACTTCATACCAGTAGCTTCATCATGCTACAAACTTTCAATTACTAATTATCACTAATTATCGACAAAAATATGATTTTCTTCAGAAAATGATAATCTCCGCTTCAAAACATAACATCAAAATTCTGTTATGTTTGAGTCAAGCATTTAGAAACGAAATTCATTTAAATTTATTTTTTTCAGTACTGAAAAGATCAGTTTAAATGATTTTACATAACAGAATTGAGTAAGTAGCATGAAAAAGCTACTGGTATGAAGTGGTTTCGTGGAATTAACAATTCTTCAAATATTACAGAAATTTCTCGAAATTAAAAAAAAAATCAAAATCTAAAAATTGCAATAGAAAAATCAAATTCGAGAAGCATGTGTAAAATTGAAATAGAAACAACTTTTTCAAGTAAACTTTTTCGATATTCGAAAAAATAAGCCTACTTTCAGCGATTAATTTGAAAAAATGTCACTTCTGACATGTAGCGAAAGTCACGTGACCCCGATTGAGTAGGCCATTATTCATCTTTTTTGAAGCAAAACTCAACGTCTGACTCGAATTCTAAAATAAGTCATTAATGAAAGTTTTTCCCATATGATGCCGACTTTATGAATGACACTGTATAACTTCATTCCGAACATCACATGTGTAAAGTATGCTATTTATGAGCTAGTCAAGATTTTTCGAAATTGTTGACAGATGCAGAACTTTCCAAAATAGCTATTTGATTCACTAGGTACTTACCTGGATCAGCCACGTCAGTCAATCTACATTGCTGCCATGTGAAACATAAACATTTTTTTCCAATTTAGTGTAAGTAGATTTTTATTGACTATTTTGCTCATCAAATAATCTGACCAATCACAAGCCAGAGACAACGTGTGATATCGGCTATAATTGCACGAGTGCATGAAAATTACCTAATTACCGATAATTTTGCAAGAAAGCCTGTTATCTGAAAATTGCGGATCTCTTCGCAGTGCAATCTTCGCTCTGCAGTGCAATTACCGATATGTGAGGGAAATATTCGCGAAAACATTAACTGTCCTTCAATTCTGATTGGTCTATCAGAGTTTATATTTTCAACGATGTAACCATGAATATCAAAGCAAAGTCTGGATGTAACCATGGATAGCGAAGGGAAGTCTGTTGTCAGTTTGGCATAAAATAGTTATGGCTGTACTTGTCAGAATGAATCACTCATTCATAATAAATGCTTTTTATGCTTCGTGAACCTGGAATAGTCTAGCAAAATATGTTCTGAATATCTTCTCATAATTCTGTCTTCCATTGTTGACTCAATTGTGTTGCCGTACAGCAATATCACTCGTCCTGACGGACTTCGTGAACAATGAAGCGACGGAATTATCTCGAATATTCAGAACATCGTGATATTACTTATGAATATTTCACTCATCACTTAATCTGACCATTCACAAGCCAGATACAACGTGTGCTCATCGGGAAAACATGAGCTGTCTTTCAATTCTGAATGGTCTGACAGCGTCAAAAAGTCTGAATGTAACCATGGATAGCGAAGCAAAGTCCGTCAGTTTGGCATTAATTATTGCTGTACTTGTCAGAATGAATCATGCAATCATTTATAATAAATGCTTTTTATGCTTCATGAACGTGAAATGTCTATAGGAAATTACCACTCTTCTCATAATTCTGCCTTTCATTGTTAACTGAATTGTGTTGCCGTCTCGGTTGCCGTACAGCAATCGTGGTATTCCTCGGCTACGCCTTTTTAAAAGAATCAATTCTCGATCACCAAAGTAGCATTTCGTGCACTACAAACAAAAATAACACTTTTGTAAGGTTCTGCAACTGTACGAACTTTCGAGAGAACTTGAATGACTCAAAAGTAGCGTAGGTACTCTGGACATATGATGTTCTGAATGAAGTTTCATTGGAAATCAGAGTAGATTCCAGAAATTCATTAAGAATTGTAGTCATATTCAATTCGAAATAACGGAGTTGAGGTATGTTTCCGGTATAACCAAAACCTAGAATATTTCAGTTGAATCGGTTCAAAAAATTTCATGAAACTAGTCCTAGTAGTTTTGCATACACAAATCAGTTCGTCATGAGGGACTCTCTAATATAATAATATATGAAAAAGTGGTATATGGAAAATTCGAGGAAACAGTTAAATTAAACCTACTCGAAAGTTATATATATATCATCAATGGGTATACATAATATCAACATCAGCATTCAACGTATTTTGGAATTTCATATTATGAACATAACCCAACTAGCATTTTCAGTTACAGGCAGTATAGAGCTCAAGAAACTATTACTTATATTCAGTAATAGTTTCGTACTCATGACTCATTCCATAACTTCATGGTAGAAATGTCATCCATCAGTGAGTGAAATCTATGTAGTTTCTACCCTGGATTATATTTCCAAAGGGTGCAATCTTCATAGATTTTTATGGTTTTTCTGAAAGCACTACTTCACGAAAATATTCCTAAGGTTTCGCAGCTTCGACTAATTTATATCATTTATTTTGTAGTAACCATACTGAGGTTCCCAACTTCCCACGATGTTTTCGCGACTTGATTCATCACCTATTAATTGAGAAAATTTGTGTTCATATTTGGCGTCGGATATTGGTATTGCCCACTTCAATTATTTCCTACGAGTAAATACTCTTGGGTAGAAAACTTTAGTTCCATCAGTCACCTACGTTATCCTAACTGATGTCAATTCTAATTGATCTTCAAACATCATGAAGAACTAACTATAGATTAATCTGGTCGATAATGACGAGCAGAATTCTGGAATTCAAGATGATTAACAATGATTTTTGGACAGAAGCCAGATAAGATGAACACATATTTTCGTTGGAAAAATAGAATTTCTATAAGAAGACGCATAAAATCACTAGGAGAATTTACTATCGAATGGAATTATGGTCTTATATATTAGTAAAATAACTGATTCAGTAGAAATCGATCATCGTAAGCATTCGATTATGCCCATCATGAAGAGTTACTAAACCACATTCTTACCGTTTGCTTTCTAGTATCATTCAAACCATTCCTATCTTTTGCAGTTTACCTCCTGGTCAAGCTACTCCTCCAAGCGAACCAGAAAAAGAGCCTCCTCCGCAAAATGCTTGCACCAAATTATTCGCAAATTGCAGAAGCAAAATGTGTTCATGTTGTACAAAACATAAGAACAACAAAGTCGCAGACAAAACCAAAAGTAGAGTCGGATGCTTCGATTGCTTGAAGAAGAAGCAAGCCCCGGCCAGGATCGTTATCGAAAATGAAACAGACAAGAAACCGAAGCTGCTGGATAGACTCAACTGCTGCAAATCGCAGAAGGTGGGAGATATGAACTGCTTTCCCAAAGGAAAACGGAAAGAGAGTTGGGCTGAAAGGAGAGACAGCATTTTGAGTACTCCTACTCCTGCTGCTTCCAGGTATATATAGTTATTTTTACACCAATGTAGTAGAGAATATCATTATTACGCAGGGACTAAGATTAGTATCGGAATAATATTCCATACTGCCAATAAGGAGATTTTTCAGCACTAGTAATATATTCCAATCATTGTAGTTCTGTGGAACTGAAATATAGACCTAGGCTACGTTCAGCGGCAGGTCGGACCATGGTCAATTCGTTTCAATCCGTTCAGACCGTAGTCAGACTACGGACCAGACCGTGGTCCACGTAGTCTCATTTAAAATTAGGCCCAGCATGGTCCAAATCGTTCAGTCCATTGTTTCCGTCAGTAAACGTCAGTTATATTTGACATGAATTTATGACAGTGCAAATAAATTTGAATTTGAACGAATTTCTTCGCGGGTGAGATAACATGATGGCCAGCAAGTTCAAGAGATATTGCATTGTGCCGCAGTTCAAACAAAAGTGTCAGTCAAATATTATTGAAATCGGCGCCACTATCGGGTTTATTGTATCTTTATTTGATCAAGAACTTGTGAGTAGGAATTGTCTGGATTTGTCTGGTCATGACCAGCCCATTTTCCTTCATATATTATTGTTTGTTTTTTTGAGGACAAATATTCAATTAATTATACGATATATATTATAAGAGCAAGAATTACTTCTTGGACCATTCTTTTATCAAACTTATTATAATTGACACCGACACACCGACCAAAGCCAATGTTTTAGACACGTTTTAGACAAATGGCCCTCAATACAACAGTTGCATCAAGATTTCATAACTCCCACATCACGTTGTTTCCACATTTCGATAGGCCCACATTTCGTTAGACTATATGCGTGATTTTCCGAAAAATAGAATTTCTAGGTAGAATGTTCATTCGGGTCGGGTCAGTTTAGATTGTTTAGATGATATAGTCTATCAAAGAGGAATAATTTATGAACATGAAAAAATGGATATCTAATGGAAAGGCCCCTGTATCTTACGTAATCGTTGGGTAAGGATCCTGAATTTGCTGAAGCACGAGATATACCAAAAGGCACTATGACCAAGTGGGGTCATCTTCAGTGATTTACACAGCTCGCCAACAGCCGTGGAACCACCCCAATTTATGGAAAATGATATTAGGAGTCAAAATGGAGTGAACATACTTTCCATGGTAAGTGAGACAAAAATGAAACTCTAAGAACTGAAAATTTTCCTGAAAAAATATAAAAAGTTGGTTGATTGGGCGTCCTGATACCGAATCCGAAGTGATTTCCAAGCTATTTTGACTCCTAATATCATTTTCTGGAAATTGGGGTGGGTCCATTGCTGTTTGCGAGCAGTGTATATCACTGAAGAAGACCCCACTTGTTCAAATAGTGCATTTTTTGAATATCTCCCGCTTCTGAAAATTTCAGGATCCTTACCCAAGGGATGCGCAAGATATTTCCATTAGAAGGGAGAGACACTCCTCGCTCCACATCCTTCCTATTAGGCCATTCGGTTGGTTGGAAAAAGTGAGGTTACGTTGAAAAAGGTCGCGAATGGATGAAACTTTGGGATGTTGTTCAGGGATGGTTGATTCATGTTGTCTCAAGTAATGGTCTTCTAGTACCCTGTGCGAAAAGAAGAGGAGGGGGGACAAACTGCAAAATTTTCGACCTTCCTTCGGTTTTTCCTCAATAACATGTTTTCCTTTCGTCTAACGTCAAAAATATCGACATAGTTTTATGTAAAACGTTGAATTCCCTACAGTTGAAAATAGGTCATTCTTTCAAATTTGCTGAAAAATGACAAATATTGCATAATTCTACCTTTTTTCTAATGTTATATCCGAAATATGATGTAATGTTGTTTTAATTATGGTTCCTAATTGAAATCACTAACCTTGCACGGTAAAAATTTCTAATGAGTTCATACACAGAATGAGAAGTGGTGTATAACATAACACACATAATTATTGCTCAAGAAGGGTATCTATTTCAAGTTTCCTAGAATGAGGTGAGCTATTTTCGCAAGATACTATAAGAATTTTTTCATGTCTATCAATATTTTCTCTAGTGAGTCATCAAATGAGCTAATTCAATGTTCTTCGAACTGATTATTCTCTGTGTGGTCTGTGCTGTTTCTGTATCTGTAACCTAACCTGTCAACAGAGAAGAAATTTAAAATGTTTTTCCAGTCACAAAAAAATACATTTTTCTCTCTGTCTTATGGACTTTTCAGCTCCAAAAACTACCAATTTTGAATTTATCTGCATATTCTCCAACTACTTGCTCGTAATTGAGAATAAGGTCGGATTTTTCAAAAAGATCTATGTCAAAATCACCTATTTTATCTTATTCTGAACAGCTGAACATTTTTGACGTCTTTCATCAGGATTGGTTCGCAATGATGTATTAGGTTTAGAAAGATAATTTTGTGAATTTGGATAAATAGAGGGAACCGAGGAGGGAACTGCTGTTATAACTAACTGTGGGTTTTTTAGTAATTTTTTCACAATTGATCCATCTGGAAGAGGAAATGTATCATAACTAATGATATCTGTTTGAACGAAATGAATTGCACACACTGCAGAGTGTTGAGATGGAGATCAATTTCTACGAGGTATCAAAGATATCCACTGTTTCCGCAGTTCTTCGTCTTTAGGACATTTGAAAATCGAAACATATTTCTTCTCCGAAGCGTAATTCAACTTACATCCTTTCATACAGCAATTATATGACATATTCTGATCAGAAAGGTCGAAATAACTTACTTTGCTTCTAGAAATGAGACAACATAAACATAACATCAATTCAAAAACAATTTTTGATGAGATTTTCACACACACAAATACCCTTCCACTTATAACTCGATCACTACACCTTTTCCAATAGTAATTCAGAAAGCGTCATATGCAATTCAGACAATATCATTTGTAATTTAGATTAGTTAATTGAAATTCAGAAAATATCAAATGTAATTCAGAATTGTCAATTGATATTCAGAATGCGTCATTTGTAATTCAGATTAATCAACTGAAATTCAGAAAGCGTCAGTTAGAATTCAGAAAGCGTCAATTGAAATTCAGAAAGCGTCATTTATAATTCAGAATGTATCATTTGTAATTCAGAATGGGTCAATTGTAATTCAGACAATGTCATTTGTAATTCAGAATAGTTGATTGAAATTCAGATAGCATCATTTGTTATTCAGATTAGTCAATTGAATTTTCGAAAATATCAATTGTAATTCAGATTAGTCAATTGAAATTCAGAAAATATCAATTGTAATTCAGAAAACTTCCTTTGTAATTCAGAAATATGGAACAGTATGCATACCTACCAACAATCCACCATTATCACAATTACCTACCTACTGTGTATATCCTATCCTGTGTATGTCCTGGAAACGAATATAATAACTTCAAATAATTATACATCATCCCATAGAATGAACTTCAAAGACAACTGTATGATTTGTTGGAGGATACTGTGCTCGAGCAGCACAGCATACCACGATTCACCATGCTGCTGCTTTGACTTTAGAAAAAATGCCCGTAGGTCGCTGAATGATGGATATTTTTTATTTTCACCTGCTATGTCTCAATTCAATCCCAATATTGTTCGTTTTCATACATTACTCTCTTATATGTAGGTATTGTATTATGAATGAGTTTAATTAAAACAAACTTGTGTTGTTGTATCCCACATAATATAATTACTTATTTAGATTTCGAGGTGAACAACAACTACTGTCTGAATTCCAATTAACTAATCTGAATTACAATTGACGATATCTGAATTTCTATTGTTGCTTTCTGAATTTCATTTGACAAATCTGAATTACAATTGAAGTTTTCTGAATTTCACTTGACTAATCTGAATTTCAATTGATTTTTTCTGAATTTCAAGTAACATCTGAATTACAAATTACGTAGTCTGAATTACAATTGACGCATTCTGAATTACAATTGACGATATCTGAATTTCAATTGATGCATTCTGAATTACAACTGATATTTTCTGAATTTCAGTTGACTAATCTGAATTACAATTGATATTTTCTGAATTTCAATTGACTAATCCGAATTACAACTGACGTTTTCTGAATTCCATTTGAGAAATCTGAATTACAATTGACGCTTTCTGAAATTCATCTGTAAAAGGTGTAGAATATTCCTTGCACTTTTCACTGGCTTTCAACAATATTTCACATCGTTAACAAATCAATCAACTCTTGAAAACTAAAAACAATCACTCTGGTTCAAAGATTGCTATGGTAGTACCCCTTGCGTGGTTAGGCTCCAGGCTCCAGCCTCAAACTGATGGAAGAAGTTCATCGCCTAACCATGCCTGAACTTGCCGGTAATTGTGGAGAAAGTGGTACATGGTAGCGTCCCTTATTGTTGGTGGTAGGCTGGCTAGTTGCTATTTAGCCTTCGTCACTGATCGTGTGAATAATCGATACCGTAGGTCCTCTAGGTGGTCATTGCCAATATCGCCTCCATAAACTGATAATATACAGGGTGTTTCAAAAAAACCTGACCCCCTTGATAGGATAGGTAGAACACTGCAAAAAAAGTTGGGTTTGTTCAGTAAAAAAATTCCGTAACAGCATCCGATTTCAAGATACAAGGTGTTGAAAAAATGATTTTTTTACACATTTTTGACGATTACATCGAAACTACTGGCACCATTGTGATGAAATTTGGTATGGCTCGGTGGCCGAGAGCGTGAGTTCGTATGGGGACTCCCACCGAGACATAGGTTCGAATCCTAGTTAGGCCATGAATGTTTGTGTTTGTATACTTACCTAACCCCGCACAAGTTTCGACTTATGGGGCGTTTGGTCCCAGTGCTGGGACCAACGAGGTAATGTAATTGCAATGTAATTGCAAAAAAAAATATCTGATGCTCGTTTAAAATGAATTTTATTGAGATCAATTACTTGTTGTGGCTATTGATTGAACAAAGAATCACAAGTAGAAAATCAGAGAAATATTCGACTAGAAACATTTTGAATCAGTTAGAGTAAGTGTTCAAAATGTCCTCCGTTTCCACGAATACACGATTCGATATTTTTTTATGAAAGCATTATTTGTCTTAACGGTTGAGGATCAGCTGTAAGGTCATCTAAGTGATGTTGAATTCTGACTTGCAACTCCAGACGTGAATTTAGCTCTTAAGCATACACTTTTTGCTTGATACAACGAAACTGTGTAATCCATGTTTTTAGTAAAATTTGTTTCAATGTTAATCTTGTGAATCATTGTTGAATCAATAAGTTCAGCGTTAGAAATGTAATATTTTTTCCGTTTGCAATAAATAGGTGATGATTTTTTATAATACTCACTCTGATACATATCTTTATACCAGCAAAAGTTTTCACTTCATCCTTTTTAAATCGGAATATTTCGACAACGGAACACAGTATCGAGTTTCACCAAGAGTACCTTTTTGGTGTGAAATTGAATAATGTTCAAGTTCATATCAAATTCGGATCGAAGAATCAAACCTCAAGAAAGTTATGTTTAAACTACTAGGTACGAATCATGTAACTAGCGCCATCTATGAGAGTCGGATAATAAACAAATTCATGCCATGTGTCAGATTCCAAGAAACATCTATAAAGAATTTCATCACAATGTTGCCAGTAGTTTCGATATGATCGTAAAAAATGTGTAAAAAATCATTTTTTCAACACTTTGTATCTTGAAAACGGATGCCGTTACAACATTTTTTCACTGAGCAAATCCAACTTAGTTTGCAGTGTTCTGCCTACCCTAGCAAGGGGGTCAGTTTTTTTTGAAACACCCTGTATAGGAAGTTTCCTCCAGCGTCGCTGATCTGCTGCAAATACTGTAAAGGTCACTCCTGCGAAATCGCTTCCGCAACTGATTTGTACCAGAAGGACTCTCCAGACATATTAGAAAAAGAAAACGACGACAACAAGGTCAATGATTCCAGCCAGAAACCATAATTGAGACAACATTTCATCATATTTCGGATATAACAGAAGAAATAAGGTAGAATTCTGCAATATTTCATGTCATGTTTAGCGAATTCGAAAAATTGATCTATTTTTCGAAGCGCCATATCTCAATAATAAATTGACCTACTCAACTGTTCGAGAATTCAAATTGTAGGAAATTCAACTTTCTACAAAAAAGTATGGAACTATTTTCGACGTAAGACGGGAGGAAAGAAGTTATTGAATAAAAACCAGAGAAAAGTCGAAAATTTTGCAGTTTTTCCCTCCTTTTTTCGCATATGGTACTCGAGATCCAAAACTTGAGATATCAATAATTAATTATCCCTGATCAACATCCCCAAGTTTCAATAATTTCCGACCTCTTTCTATCTGAAACTACCTGTCTACTGGACAGAGGATCGAGAGGACGACAGTCTAAGTTCGGGATGAATCTGTGAATTTCCTTTGGGTATGCAATCAAAAAAAACTTACTCTTGTTGCTGTCCAAACTTTCGGTTCTCTATTGGCTCTTCATCAGGAACGCTATAAAACATTAAAATTAATATGAAAATTCAATCGTTATTATCGATTACTAAACACTTACGGAAAATGAGGTTTCGTTGAAGCTGTGGGGGCTAATACATGTGTAAAAGAACATTTACAACATGAAAACATCAATATTTTTGAATATTGATAAGAAATTGTTACGTTATACTTGAATTTTGTGGAGAAAACTTGCAAATCATTTCTGCTACGATCGTTATTACAACATGGCAGACAATCAGAACAGTATTATGGACACCTCTGTCTAACAGAACTATGTGATGATCAGAATTTTATGTCATGAGTCAATTATCAAAATTCACAAAGTTTTGAATTAATGGAATTTTCATTGAACTGGATAAAAATGGAAGAATAAGTGGACATTCCAATGATATGCTATTGCCAACTATTCATATTTGGAAATTCAAAATCCATCATTGATTGTTTGTATCATTGCGATTTTCTGGTAAACTTGAAAGGTGAGAATAAATTATGCTCAGATTTTCTATGTCGGTTCTAGTATCAATAGAATTGATAATTTGAAAATATGTGTCATTTCTAAGAAGGTTCCTTCTTCCAAATTCGATTCATGTTCTAATTTTGTCACATTTTCATGATTTGGTCTGTGATCATAAGTATTAACATGGTATGTGCTAAGGAAGAAGTCAATTTGGCCAGTCTACTAGACTATAGGCACGCACGATGTTTTTAGAACATTATCGGGATTCTCTTTCGTGCGCTCCAAGTAATGAAAAATTGAAAATAGATATACACTGACTGCATGATCACTGTCCATCAGTGGTAAACGGTATGAAAAGGACACACTTCAGTTTCTGTTTGTGATGAACTAAGGTTATACAACTTGTTTATCGAATCGTTACATATTAAGAAAGGATGGCACTTGGCAACATGGCAGTTACAGTTGTGTTTCACTGTGGTGGCCAGTGTTGTCAGATCTACCTATTTCGGGGTGGATCCACCCTTTTAATAACTAGTAAAAACCCCTAGTAATTGACAAGCATTTCAACTCTCAAACTATATATAGTGACCCATTTGAAAGCAAGTCACCATCATATTTTTTCCAGTCATGGAGCGATTTCCGCGATTTGTTTTCTCGAAATATAGAGGGGAAAAACTGTATTTAAGATGAGCAGCGTCTATTTTTTAAAAAAACCAAGGCCTTCTAGATCACATTCAGAGAATCCATAATATCGTTTATCTAATGAAAAATCTGCGTCAACTACTATCCAGTTTCATGAAAAAAATATTCAACTTCAACAGCGTGTCTTATTTCAAACGGCCCCCCTCTATATCTCAGCTATTAGTCAAGCGATCTTTACCAAATTGGGACCGATATGAATATCAATCTATATAGTCAGTTTTCTAGAGTCGAACATCCTTTTGGCCTTGATATGGGTGTGAAATGCTTTCAAATGGTTCACTCTGTGCATACCGTCTCATATAAATTCTACCGCTTATATGATTCTTCACATGGTAACAGTCAACACTGCCGGATACGTATATGGATAATCAAATCACAGTATTTCTTGTTATGATGCCATTTTCTTGTCTATGTGTAACGATTGGGCAAACAACCTGTATATTGAAACAACTGACGAAATGATATCACCAAATATGATACTTTCGGGTTGACAGATGGCAAGTACTGCTTTACATTTTACCATCAAGAGCGTGAATGAAAATCTTTGGCTTGCTAGTAACCAAAAATGATATTCATGACAACCGTCCTTCCAAGGCACGTGAACATTTTTAGAGGAGAAGTTATGTTCTTGCTTTGTGTGATTCAATTTATTCGTTATCATGATGATTCAATCTGCAATTACTGTATAGAAACATGTTTTTCCAGATCGACTAACTGTAAGAACATCCTACGAAAAATGTTCTGCATCAACTTGTGTTGCAAGAGAAAAGGAATCGAAGAACTTGTACGCAAACCTTCTGTTGTGAGCAAGAAGAAGAGTTTGACACCGACCACAGCACTACCACCGGAAGTAAGTTGACGACCTTTGTTCTGTTTACAATTACATTTGAAATACATCATTATATGTTATAACATTATTTCTCAACATTTTCTGAGTACATTTACATACAAAAAATAAAGCATTAGTACATGTTAAAATCAACCTTCATCTTTGCTCCGCCTTACAATTACATTTGAAATACATCATTATATGTTATGAAATTATTCCTCAACATTTTTTGAGTACATTTACATGCAAAAAATAAAGCATTAGTACATGTTAGAATCAACCTCCATCTTTGCTCCGCCTTACAGTTAAAACATGATTGAAATATGCCCAAAAACTATATCTCGTGCAATCTCCATCAAATTGTGGGTTATAAAAATAATTTAGAAACTGACACATCAAACCCCTAGTTCAAAATCATGCTAGGTGATTACGAGAAAAAATTTATGTATTGAAGATGATAGAGTACAAATCACAAAGTTGCAATGTTATTGACAGAATAAATGTATTCAGTATGAATGCGAATTAGGGTATCAAATTTCAAAGGTAAGAGGGGTGTCAACAATGTAACAGCCGCGTCAAATTTGTAAATCCGCCACCGTTCAATACAATGAAAATGAAGTCATTCCAAAATTTCATTCAGGAGTGTATAGTAAGTACATGGTGTGACTTCATTAAATATTGCTCAAACTTTTTTTTATGCATAAGTTTCGACAATTCAATCTCGATTATGAAATTTCCAACCACTTTACAGAAAAAAATGATTCTGTTCCGTATCGATCAGATGTATTATCCTCGAGTGACATATATTTAAAATATTGTTACATCTCACATTTCATGCATAACTCTGCCAATCATTAAATCATAGTGGCTATAAAAACATCAACTACCTACATTCTTCTCACCAAACAATTTCATAGAGGCACGAAAAATAGGAGAATGGTGTTGAAAGACTATTTCAATTTTTGCGCATTTTTTCCATATCCACGATAATCAGTACGATTTATTGCAATGATATACACAATATGTGAGATGTATCAATATTTATGAATCGATTTTGCTCAAAAATGATAAGAGTGAGTTTTCATGATCCGAGATTAAATTGTCGAAAAATATGCATATGAAAAAGTTTGGGCAATATTTGATCTAGTCACACCCTGTCATATACACTTCTGAATGAAATATTGGAATGACATTAACTTCACTGCATTAGGTATGAAAAATTTAGTTCTTCTACCAAATTTTATTATCTTATCACATGGCGTTTGGGAAATATTCAAGAAATATCATCTTCAGGAGCTCCCTCAAGGAGGCCGTAGCTCCCAGGTGCAATTTTTCGACCAATGTTCATTAGAACTTTTCTCCATACTTTTGGTCGTAGAAGCCGCTGGTGAAGTTTTGCAGACTAGTTTCGGGACACTCTGTGTATAGCAAGGAACGGATCGGCCCAAGTATTGAACCTTGAGGAACACCTTGCTCAATTAACTTCTTTCACATAATATAGTTATTTTCCATTTGAGACAGGTACCATTCATTCACACCACGATTTGACAGATATGACTCAAAGAGTTGGTATCCAACGCCTCTAATGCCATAGCAATTCAGTTTATTCAGTAATGTTGTGTGATCAAGTTCATCATATTCTGACCATTTCTTATATTTGATAATAATATTTCAGCAGTGTTTTTTGACTTATTCAGATCATCAACAACTGCTAAAATTATCGTGCCATCTGCATAACAAGTAGGTATAAATATGTTCCACTCTTTGAATAAAAAGAATCATGAGATCAACAGCGGATATATTAAAAAAACTAAGAAGACCTGAAATAGAACCCTGCGGCACAACTTCCTCAACATTTATTTCATCAGAGAAAGTGTTGTTTAGTCTGATTATTTGTTTTCCTCTGCTAAGATTGCTCTATTGAAGTCACATTTCTTTTTAACGTCTACGAGTCATCAATGAAAATACTCAGAACACATTCTTAGTTGTCAAATAAACGTCTTTCAATAATCCTTCATTCAACTTCATATATCCTCAAAATCATATATAATTGGGGTGCAAACATTCTAACTACATATATCATATCATAACGTCTTCTGTATCCAGTAAAATGCTGTATAAACGCAGGTCAGGTGATTTCAGTTTACCATTATCCACAGGTATCGTTTGAACAATGAAATTTGAAACATATGGCTATATTTTTGCAGGATACATCGCCTAAAATTGACTTGAGCTTGGTAGAACACTCTTCACATATGAGAGCAGCTATTCCTATTCTTCCTATATGTCTGGCATGGTTTTGTTTGGTCATGAACTGTATAGCTCCAGGAACAGGTGAGTGGCTTATCTTGATTTCCTGGAAAGTTCATGATATGAAATACCAATGGATACATTCTATACTAAAATTTATGTATTTCCATAATATTCAACCTTCACTTTGTATATTTGAGAACTCAATGTGAGTTGCCACTTTCAGAATTATCCTAGATATACACTCAATATTTATAATACGGTAGTTGTTCCTCTCTGATATGAACTTTCTGGTAGGTGATAGAGCACCAGAATGTCACTAATAAATATCGACTTCAATATCAAACGTTGAGATATTTTCATATTTTCTTCAACCATCCCTCAATACGATACCTTCTCAACTTCAATTTCGGAATCGGTAAGTTATATTTCGGAGAACGTAAACTCGATTCCAGAATTGGTTAGTTCGATTTCAGAATCGGTGAGTTGAATTTCCTGAAGAAGTCCATTCAATTTCAGAAACGTTAAATTGTATCTCAGAATTGGTAAGTTCAGTTTCAGAAATTAAACCCTCATATTCCACATTTTTTTAATTGCATGTGAAAAGAACAAACCATCTTTAGAATATTCGAATGTTCAAAAAAAGGATAGTGGCGTTGCACGTGGTTTGAAATGATTCAAACACTTTTGAGGTGTTTATTCTCATTGATTGATCTGCACATTCTTCAAGACATCACAGCCTGAATGCTATTTGGTTGAGCCATCTGTTCGGATCCCCGGCTATGACCCTTTGGTGATGCTCTTGCAAGAAGCTCTTCGCTTCTGACTTGACGGTATTCCATAATATGTTCAATTATTGGATTCAACATTGGGTGCTGTAAGGGGCAAACATCTTTAAAGTTTTCCTTCATGCTTATATCCTCTATATATTCTTGAATGAGCGTACATTATCCAGAACTACCACTATGGTATCTGTAGGATGCCCATTTTAAACGCACCCTCATCATCCTATGAACTAAGATTCATACAGTGACTTATTCAATTCACGATAGTGAATGTGTAATCAGGATTATTCATTTCAAGTTGAAATTTTCTTTCTTGAATTGAACTTACCAATTCTGAAATACAACTTATGGAACCGAGTTGTCCTTTTCCGAGATAGAACTTTCTGAAATTGAAGTTGAAAAGGTATAGTGTTATGTGTTAATCTGCTTCATCAAATCTGTGAGAATTGGAATCATACCGATGTCTGTATTTCCCTCTAATCAAATTTCAATCTAGAAATGTCGGTTGACCAGAAAATTATATTCAAAAACTACAAGAAAGTGTCACTATATAGTGAGTGAGCCGGTTGCAAATTCCGACCGTCATCTGAGAACGAAATGTTATACAGGGTGTCCGGAGATAAAACCGACAAGACTTGTGGTGTTATAGGGACTGTCAATATGATTGCAAAATGCCATAAACAAATGTCCAAAACCGCTTCGTTATTGACATACAGAGTGATTTGTGGATTTTGACAAAAAATTCAATCCGTCATATCAAATACAGGGATTAACCGATTAGATTTAAATTTGGTACTCGAATTACACTGAGAAGCATCAACAAGTAGCCCTTTGATCGAAACCAATATCAGGACCGGAATGATATTTTTTCCTTATGTTGTTATTGTGAGAATAACTCACCCTGTATAATAATAACAAAAAATTTCAACTCACATTCGACATCTACGGTAAAAATTGTATAGGAATTTGTTGAAAAATCTCCTGGCACTATCTTAGTTATTCCGTAATTAATTATTATTTTAATTTTTTTCTTTTGAAACTCAATTATTGTCGGATAAATTACTTTCAAAATTGGTAAAATAATAAATATTAACGAAACCATGACATGAATATCATTATTTTATTCAATCAGTCCGTAAATCGTTGTTAAATAAAATACTCTCATAACCCGAAAGAACTGAAAAATAAATTCGTATCAGAACTGGAATGCGGTTTTCTATGATTATATTCCTGTAAGAATAGATGATCTAGTATAACAATGATCTGATCGCAGATTCGAAATTCACTGAGAAAAGTTAAAAACGTGTTGAAAAATGTTCGGATTGAACTTTTAAATAATAAATCCGTATCAGTACCTTATAATGTTTGTTTATAAAGAATACTAGGCTTGTGTCAAATTCAGAATTTCATTCTGGAAAACCATTGTTCAGCTGTCATCAGCGTTTGTTTTATTGGTGTTCATTCATTATTCCAGTGTTTTTAGGATCAGAGAATAGTTCTGAGAGTGTGCTTATGATGCCGTTTCATTTCACTAATGAGGAATACGCAGATATTCTTTTTGTGTTTGGGCTTTAACTGGTGATGTTTACCTAAATTTCCTGGTCAATACTTGACCGGATCTATTGCAAGGTGTAAATACCTGAGGTATGTGGTTTCAGCATGATGGTGCTAGACTTCACCTTTCAGTTCCAGTTAGAAACCATCTTGATGCCAATTACCCCAATAGATGGATTGGCTGTGGAGGTTCAGTAAATTGGCCACCGCTATCCCCTGATCTAACTCAGCTAGATTATTTTTTATGAGGTCATTCAAAGTAAGAAGTTCATAATGAAGCAATTTTTTATGGAAAATTACTGCTGCATGTGTTAGTAATAGATGTAATATACTGGGATTGGGTAACACAATTAAACACCGATGTACACTGTCCGATCGTCCAGACACTAATGAATCTCCTTATCATTATTTCAACCTATCCGCATTGCGATGGTGATGATTCACTCATGTCTTTCTGATCCGTTTATTCATAATTACTGGATACTACATCTCTCCCTCGTTTTCAGCACTTTCAATGTATGTGAAGGAATACTTATTCCGATTAGGACATATCAATGATACTACTTAAATAAAAGTACAATCCTAATGATAATAACATGAAACACTAACGATATCCATCCTTATAACAATAATAATAATGATAATAATAATATAACTACTAATTCTAATAATAATCCTGATAGTGACAATGATAGGTTATAATAATAGTAACAGTTATATACAAATATAAGATTTGAATGAAAGCTACTAGCCAAAGTCAGTTGGTCTGCTCATAAAGTATCGTATTCTTTCGGTAGTACTGTCCATTCTCCTTTGACTTCCTTCAGGTGGACTATGTTCCTTCTCAGGTTCTGTCCTGTTTCATCGTTTCTGACTTCCACATCTGTTCCATTTTTGTTAATGATTGTATGGAGGCTGGTGTGAAATTTGGATAGGTTTTATTTTCTCTCTGCATCTCTTTCACATAAACCTTATCCTCTTTTTGGAGAGAGTCGTCCTGAGCTTTCCTCTTATTGTCGCTATATTCTTTACCTTCTTCCTTCTCAATTTTATCTCTGTCTATTACTTCGTTGCTCTCTTCATTATCTTCGAGGTCTATGAGGCTTGGGATTTTATCTCTGAACTGTCGGCCGTAAAAAGATCTCCCGGAGTTTTACCGGTCACCGTGTGTGGGGTGCTGTTGTACATTACTAGATAATCTAGGAGCTCCTTTTTCCAGTCCTGTTTCAGCGAGTGGCTTATTTTGATTCGTTTCAAAATGTTTCGGTTCTGTCTTTCGACCTCTCCATTTTGTTGAGGCCAATATGGTATGCTACGGAAAACGATTATTTCACGTTGATGGCAGAATTGATGTTGTTCTTGGCTTGCGAACTGCTTACCGTTATCGGCTGTTATCGATGACAGATAAACAATTCGAGAGAAGATCTCCTGGAGTAAATCCACTGTTTTCCTAGTAGTTGTGTCCTTCGTGATTTTGATCTTTTCATAGCGGCTATAATAATCAATCACTACTAATATAAAATATTTACCAGGAAGAGGGCCCAGATAATCGATAGCAATATCAACCCATGGCTTGGATGGTAATTCCCGTCGCTTCATAGGGTTAGGTCGTAATGGTGTCGATACTTAGATACATCCTCTTCAAGACTTGACTAGTTTTTCTGCGTCGCTATCGATCTTAGGCCACCAAACCTTTGTTCGCAATCTGCCTTTTATTGCTGAAATTTCTGGATGTCCTTCATGTGCTGCCAATAAAACATCTTTCCTCAGATTTGTTGGTATCACGAATTTGTTTCCTCTCAGAAGAATTCCGTCTTGATAACATAATTCTGATTGGAATATTTTATAAACGTTAGTCGACTGGTCCCAGTGGTTTTCAAATAATCCCTTTCTCACTTTGGCGAATTCCTCATCGATTTCCGAATGATGTTTGATATCGTTCAAAGAAATTGCTACAGGTCGTGAATATTCTATCAATTAGTGAACGCTTTCTTTGTCGAAAGGTTCAGATGGAACTATGATGCAAAGCCTTGATAACGAATCAGCTATATTCGATATACCTGGTCTATAAACTATTCTGGAACTGTAGGACTGGAGTCTAAGGACCCATCTTTCGATGCGTACATAGGGTTTGGATCTTGATCCGAAAATGACTTCGAGAGGCTTATGATCAGTCACTAACTCGAACTCCGCCTTGCCATACAAATACGCTTTGAAATGTTCGACCGCCCAGCCAAGAGCCAACGCTTCCTTTTCTGTCTGGCAGTATCTTCTTTCGCATTTTGTCAGACTTTTATTTCTATATCCGATGATTCGTGGTCCCCTATCGTCAAACTGAATACACTGTCAGTTGGATTATAAGTATCCCAGTGATTTGATTTTTGTTGATATTTGTTTGATTAGTTCAAATGCCTTTCGTTGTTCGTCTTTTCAATGAGTTTCAATGTTTGCATGTTTTCCTAATTTCATTCAACATAGTTGATGGGGCCTAAAAAACTTTGAATCTCGTCTACGGTTTTTGGTGATCTGAACGTTTTTATGACCCCCACATAGCTATCAAGAGGTGTGATTCCATTGATCGATAAAGTATGACCAAAGAATTGGAAACTTTTCATTCCATACAGGCATTTCGCCTCATTCAATAAAATATCATTTTTGCGTAATGTTTTCAATGTGAAACGTAGTCTAGAGTTGTGTTCTGTTTCATCTTTCCCAAATATAAGAATGTCGTCTATGGAATTAACA